ACTCCAACCAGAAATCCTTATTAGGTCACAGGAAATTTGGCAAATCTTTTCATTACCATTTTCAGCTTGTAATTCGTAAAAGTTTTGAAAGCAAATTCTTGTGTAATGCCCTTTTCATTCTTGATTGGACTTTTGTCAACTATGGCTATGACATTTTATTGGTACTATTCCAAGTATCACGCATCATTTTATAGAGCCATATCTGCACTTAGTGGCAGGAGATATAGCTTCGCATTAAGCGTAATGACAAAAAGCAGTTTACCAATTCCCATTCGTCAATAGGCGTTGATCGGTCGTTGTTAGTGTAGAAGATGCGATATCCAGTAATCATTCCATTGGGTCTCTCGCTAGGGCTCCATTTTACAAGCACCGAGTCACGGCTGAGACTTCGTGCTTGAACCTGCGATGTCCTTTCATTAAAACGGTTGTATAAAAAATTGTAACTTAAAATTTTCCAGCAATTTCAAACCAATACTGATAAAAATTCGAAATATACTGATAAATTCCAGCTTTTTAATGCTATCATTGATGGTGTTAATTTTATTATTAGAAATACTAGCCAAAATTTAGACAATTAATTTTGGCGAAAAATACCTTTTGAATGATTAATGGCCTCTATTAAAAAACATAATTACTAGTTTTTTGTTTAGATTATCACCCTGATTCTTATTGATAAACTGTAAACTATTGTTTTGACAAATTTTGCCATAGCTGAGATTTTGCAGCATGCACAATTCATGAGATCAGGAATAATCATAAGATTCCAATGTGAAGTTTGTTCTCACTTAATTAAATTTTAGGTACAATTTGATGATATTTGTAGCATAAGAAGCTCAACCACTTTCTTTTCATAGAGAAGCATAAATATTTAAATGTCTTTGCTGTGGAGTTTTCGTTTTCTCTCGAAAATATTAGGAAACAAGTAATAAGCGTTGAGATTTCAAAAATTACTTTTGTCGGTGGGCTTCCAGGAGCTGCCTCTGCCGTCTGTGCCTCTTTTGGTATTGAACCAGGTCCTTCGCCAAAATCTCCCACAGTCGCAATCACAAATTCATATAACTGCAAAAACAAAAACATCGGATATTATATGAGGTGTGCCATGG